TGATAGTGATAATAATAACAAGAATTTGTCAGTGACAACATTCATGTCAAACATGCACAGGATAATGGCAACAATTTAAATCGCCATCAGTAGTACTTCCATACAAAGAGGGAACCTCGGAAACAGCAGAAAATTCTGAACAGTGCAGCAAGGAGTAAAAGTGGCTGGCATTCAAACTGCCCACAAACTCAATCAGAAACAGACTTTGTAGATTATAGCATCAATCCTGTAGGAGCCATTAAAACAAAACAATTTAGTTTATCTGACTACCCTGCAGAGTGAGATTGTCACGTCAAATACATACGTCAAAAGCTAGTAGAACGGATCAGCAGTCAGTCAGACAAGCGGAGACACAAAAACTTAGCAAACTTACCTAAGATAAGAAAGTCTAGAGAATAGTTCAGCTATAACACAACACCACATACATTGGGATGGGAAAGATGACAGTTTTAAAGTCTAATACAACTAACAGTGTAAAGGGAGAGATTGATAGAGCTGAAGCTTTGTTTATCGAATCAACTGCAAACCAACACGTGTAATAGGAATGATTCAACACCTGTCCAGTCGGATATCTGGAAAATTCTACTACCCCAACGACGACAAATAGGAGAGAACAAATAAAACTCAAGTGTCAAAGTCGTTTGGTTACAATTGATATGATTCTGAACAATAAATTTTGTTCGAAACTTTGTCATCCAGTAAATAATACTATTTCACTCACTGTGTGATACATCTAATAAACAAACTAATATGGAATTACTTACTACCACAGTGCCCAAGTTTTACACATATGTCAGTGTCGAATTTTTCTGATTTGCTGGAGGATACTGACAGTCTAATAAAGGTTAAAGTTCAACATTCTGTTTATATATATATATATATATATACATATATATATATATATAATATTCATTGAATGATCTTCGTCCGCAATATTACCACTATTGTGATTTTAAAATTGAATAATTTCCCATAATTTATTCTACCTTTCTCTATTCAGAGTATGGATTTATCCGTAAGAGATGTCAATGAACCATGTGGTGATGTGGTAATTGTTGATCGTAAACAGCATAATACAAATCGTCTGTCCACTGATGCCAATAATCCTGTAAATAACAATGACGATTTTGATGATGATGATGATGTTAAGATGGACAGTCTGGATAACTCATCTCTTAGACTAAGACAAATGAAGTCGACTCGTGTAACTGAAATATCTCAATGTTCTGTTGATGGACAAATTCATCAAAGAGTAACGAAGATGGCGCACACCAGTATGAGTAAACTATATTCCGATGGAGATGCACAGAAACATCAATTTGTCAATCATATTGATCAAAACGTCTCATCAACAGCTGTCGACTCAGACTACAACTACTACTATCGTTTATGTTTTACAACAGCTTTAATGCTAAGACTAGTATTAGTGATATTTTCTGTATGGCAAGATACAGTTCGTTGGCCAGATGGTCAATTACGCTTCACTGATGTAGATTATGATGTGTTTGCAGATGGTGCAAGAGCTTTTCTCGCTGGGAAGAATATGTATATTGAACGTCCAACCTATCGGTATTCCCCACTGATTGCATTAGTCCTGGCTCCAGGATATTGGTTATTCTCTGATAATGGTGAATATTCAGTGGCGAATAGAACAGTTGAAGGAGGAAAGTCATCGATTCTTCCTGCCCTAGCTCATCTATGGGGTAAACTGATCTTCATAATGGCTGATTTACTCTGTGGTTATTTACAATATATAATTATTCATGACAAACTTATTGTAAGTTGTTTGGTCGTGTTTGATTTTTTTTGAATTTTCGTCTCTGCTATGATCGTGTTCTTCCTCTCTGATCTTCACTTGTCATCTGTACGACTTGTGTGAACTAGAAGGTTGGTTAAAGCAAGAACAACAGTGGTGGTTTGTGCAGAATACAAGATGGTGCCTTCATTGTTTATTTCATTGGCGTCTCATTAGGTGCTTGCTTACAGCCTAAATAAATTATTATTAAGTTTATGTACATGGCAATTCTTAACATACTTGCAAATTTTACATGATGTCAGTTGACTGGAGATTACAAACTTAGTGAACAGTGCTCATAAAAATACACAAGTTTAACCAAAGTAAATATATGAATGCATACAATGGTAAAGGAGTTACGTAATGACGACGAGAGATGCGTAAGATGATGAGCAAATAATAAATAAATTTGGGTAACAATGCACTGAGTTCAACTCAAATCATGGAAAAAAGAGATAAGCAAAATTACAGTATATCAGACAGAGTAGGGGGGTGGGGTTGTGATGAGAGCTGTCTGCTAACTGAAATTGGTAGACAGCAATTTACGTCAATGTTTACGTCGTAAATCTTGGTCATCAGAAAAAAACCAAGAACAAAGACTAACTCAACAGCCAATCGCAGCAGACTTTGCGTGAACGGATATGATTCGCAGATATATGGTCTGACCTTCAAAAAAAACAGCCACGAAAAGATGACTGATTAACTTTCAGTGAGAAATCGACCAATCAGAAGACGCTGTTTCTTTGCTAGTAATAACGAATAATAATGTACATAAAAATCTATAAATATCTGTTGATTTTCTCAATAAACGATTTGTGGCCTGATTCTTATCTTCTGTCGTTACAGGGTTGGGTTAAAGCCAAGGATTAAGTAATTAAGTGAGAGAGGAAAATTATTACATCCAGTTTACCAGGCTGGTCAAGGAAAGACTGATGCTAATTCAGGCGTTTGATAGAAATTGCTTTGGCAAGCTTGAGCGGAATTGGACCATTTTTGCCTATTGATAATTGTAAAGGATTTTCCTGTTTTCACCTCATGACCCAAGAAGATGCTTGATAATTGTACCATTGTAAGCGTTTGTTCCCACTGGAGACATAGACGTTTCGGTACATGTTCAGAAATTTGCAAGTATGTTTAAACCTTTCTGTACATAGATAGGACTAGACACACACTTATAACACACTAGTTACTGACTAGTGTCCAATCAACAATGTTTACTTGCAATTTGATGTCGCTATATAGTCAAATTATGTGTACACGTTATCTTCGACGCCCCATTTTCACCGATCCTCCGTGTTGTGCTAATTTGCCTCTTCTTATTGCGTTTCTTTGTCTTCCTTTTCACGTGTCCCATGTATCTCCCCAATTCTGTATCATTTGCTTTCTCTGATATGCGTCTGATATGTGCGTTGGTGGCACAGTGGTTAGGACTCTCGCCGACCATGCATATGGTCCGGGCTTCGGTCCCCTGCCGACGCACACCTGACATCTGTGGTTGGCCTGCAAAATTTGGGCTACCGATATCCACGCTGAAAATTCCATACTTGCACTGAAAATACGGTGTGGAATCAAGCTGAAATCAAAAATAAATAAAATAAAATATGAAATCTATGTTCCTCCTATTTAATGTTTTTATGCCGTTGAACATATGTTTATATATGCTACTGATAAATCTTATCAGTAGCACATGCCACACAACTACTCATCTCAGTCAATCGGTATTATGTAGGTTGCTTTGTTTTGTCGATGTTACATGTTTCTTCTTATTTTATCGATTGCCTGTTTGTTAATCCCTTAATGTAATTTTTTGTGCTCTATTTTGTAGAAAGATCGTGTGGTCAATCGTCATCCTGATCAGAAAACTCAACGAACTTCACTGTCATTCATTGCAAGTCGATTAGCTATATCTCTGGTTGCATTCGGTTGGTTATTCAATCCTGTGACAGCTGTAGTCTCTGTTCGTGGTAATGCAGATGCATTGCAAAGTTGTCTTGTCATAACCTGTCTATGGTGCATACTGAAACGTCGTATTGCTTTAGCTGGACTTCTCTATGGATTGTGTATTCATCTGAGAATATATCCAATCATCTATGCACTGTCTATCTATTTATGGCTTATGAAAGATGATGGGCAGAACAAGGTGGTGGTCGAGCATTTGGAGAAGACGAACACGAAGAAGGTTGATGATAGTAAAGATTGTCAGACATTCAACAGTCAGTTAAGAAGTTTAATCTTCCTTTTTACAAAATTACCTAATCGAAATCATTTTATATTTGGCTTCAGTTGCCTGTTGAGCTTGATCACATTGACTGGATTGTGTTATGCATATTTCGGTGGAATGTTGTTTCTTCAACAAGCCTGTCTGTATCATTTCAGTCGATCAGATTTCAAGCATAATTTTGCACCACATTTTCTAACTGTGTATTTACTCTCTGGACAAAAATGGTGGTTAACAACAGCAGCAGCAGCAGCTAGTAGTGGGGAAGTTATTCCCACTGGAGCGGGGTGGGATGTTAATCATCGTAATTGGTTGAGTATGCTGTGGAGTAATTTGACTAATTCATTGATTCACTGGGGCAGTGGTAGTAGTACTGGTAGTGTTGATAATCAATACTCTGGTTCAATGAATGCGGAGAATTCATTATCATTATCGCTATTATTGGAGAATCTCAGTACAATTAATTTAATGGAAGGCATTTTCAAGATTGCTACAGTTTTACCGTGTCTACTGTTAATACCATCTTTATCGTTGAAACTTCACTCCAATCTTGGTCTCTGTTGGTTTGTGCTCACGTATATGTTTGTGACATTTAATAGGGTAAGTTGAATTATACTCACACACACTGACGACTTTTTTATCAATCAATCTGTCTACTTTATGTTCATATAATGTGTTATATATACCTTTAGGCAGTTTTATGATATATTTGAATATATATCTGTGAGGAAATGAATTTTTGTTTTTTAAAGCTGTAGTTTATTAGTTTAAGTACGCACATTTCTGAGTTGCTCAATGATGAATGTTGGTAAAATATGCTATACCTTTCTCCTCCTTTTATAAGCGTCTTTGATTATAGGTGTCTGCGTTCTGTCTTCCGTGTGTGTGTGTGTGTTATAGCCATCGATCCCCTTCCTCGACCTATGGGCAATGTTAGTTAGTTAACTGACATGGGATGGTTGAGATTGGAAAGAGCTAGCACATTGTGGTCAAAGCAGGAGGTGGCTTCATCAGTCAGTGAAATTCACAACAGTTACTTTAAGTCAGCCACATTGGGAGGTGTAGACTGGACTACAGTCTGGTAGCAGTCCTGGGAAATGGTATGAAGGAATGATGACTGGAGATAACGGGTGTGATATGCCTCAAAATCTTCGTTGTCAATGTCTGTCGCAAATGCATTCACTCTTTGTGATTTATCAAATCCAATAGAACTCCATAGTTCTTCCATATAACCATTCTTCTCTCACTCTTGTGTTTATTATCTCTCTCTTTACTGTCTTCTGTTGCTTTTATGTACTGCGAGAAGGGGGGGGGTGTGGCACCTGAATCTGGTGCTCACCTGTCCGAGTTTTAACGTTGAAACCAGTTAGTCATATTAACGAATGATACATGCTGACATTTCTTACGAAGAATAAGAAACGCGGGAAGACATGAGGAAAATAGTCATTTTCACCATTGGTGTCTGTATCGATTTTCTTCTGTTGGGTAGTTTAAAATTTTGGTGACTAATATATAAATTGAATTCGGGCGTAATTTTAAGTAAGGCCGGGAAAGTCAGTCGACCATCGTTTGTGAAGGGTGTAACGTGTTTCTGCACGCTGAACCACTCACTGCCTTCTTCGATGTGCTTTGTTAGCTTATATATGATTAAATTGGAAAGGAGTTAAAGGTCAGTGGTTAGAAGAAAAAGTGTCATTAGTCCACAAAGTCTTTATCTTCAGCCACGTAAAGAGATGTGGACTGTCTTCTTGGACTCCTCAGTAGCATGACACAATTGTGTTTACTCCTCTTTGGTACTGCAGATTCATCCCATCCTCTTTATTCTTTAGATAGTAGTTTTTTCTCCTGGTACATTGTATTTTTTTTGTATACTTTTATGAAGTATGACAACTGGAACTGGTGAGCTATTGTACAAAGTTCCTGATATTCTTTATGAAGTGCATCAGACATTTATTTGCAGTTAGTTTGCCTAATTGTACAGAGCGAAAGTGATGCTCGTCTAATGGGATCACTGATTATAGCAAACTCTTCATTTTTAAATTTGAACAAAGAAAGAAGAAACATTGACACGCAGAATAATCTGGATCCATTTTATTTCGTTGGTTCTCATCAGCTGTGTGCAACCTGAATTCTTTAATAAAATTAAAAGTGTACAATTTTAACAAACTTTTTTCCTTTAGGAAAGCCTATTGTCAGAGCGTCATAGTGAAATAAGGCGTTGCGATTTACAAGGTGTCTAAAGTGTTACGACATATATATATATCTTGTTAGAGAGAAGTTTCTTGAAAAAAAATTAATTAACAGTTGTGTTGTTGGGTTGGTAACAAAAGAAAATTAGTAATAGTTACGTAATTAGATAAGAAAAGATCAAAATTTCGATTCACTTGAGGTCAGATGAGAAGTTGATGATATATAATACAGTGAGCAGAATTCAGAAGATCAAGAAAAATTATTTCTTAAGAAAGTCAAGAGAAAAATAAAGAGGTGGGCGTGGAAAGATAAGTTAACAAAATTAGAAAACAAAGAGTTACTAAGAAGTGAGTCATCAGGGTAATTGAAACCCAACAACGGATTCTTTTCGGACACATAAGTCAGGCTTCAATCGTTTTTTTGCTATAGCTTCAACAAACCTGAGAATTTTTTTATGTTGCATGGCGATATTGACCATTCATGAAATGTTGTCTCATGTTTTAAAGCTTTTCCTGCTTGCTACAACCACCTGCCTAGCTGTTATACTAAAAAGCTGATCATAAACATTCCGATCAACACAAATTTATAAACATACTTGGAAAATATTCATTCAGACATTCAGGAAGACAAGAGAAAGTTCGAGCAAAGAGTATTCCTTTCGATAATTTGCTCTTCCGCTTCTACACTGAATATGCTAGAATAATCGTCGTTAACAATATTAATGTATTTTTGTCTAATTTTCAAGTATTGGTTCTGTAGGGATTTTGTTTGATTGCATGGAGGATTTCATCATGAGCTGACATCAGTTAGAGAACCACTGGAAAGCAACCTGGGAGTACTGGACAGCTGTTTCCTCCTAGTTTGGGATTCTTCAGCAGTACGCACCCACCGGGATTCGAACCCAGGGCCTTCTGGTTACAAGGCGAGCTCGTAGACCATTGAGCCACTGGGACCCGATCCAATGGTCCTTGAATTCTAACTTCTGCCAATTTACGACATAGTGCGACCATTTCGCAATGTCTTCTTCGATGAGGTACTGCCTTATCTTCAACCTGTTGTACCCTACTGGTCACGGCTTCCCATTAGAACCCCATGTTAACTGCCTGAATAGGGCCAGTCACAAACCAATTTCTATGGATTTGTTAAGATCGCAATGGAATTACTACAGTCAAAGAAAGATGGACAAGTTATAACAATAATAATCATAAAAATGTAATAGTAAACAGAATATCAAATATAATTCAGGATATTTCTAAAAAAATTAAGGATCAGTAATACCTTGATAGCCGGTCAGCGGGGGTAAAGAAATCGTCCGAACTAATTTCTTTTCAATCCTTAGATTAGATTTCTTAATTAAGGTGAATTCCAACAGCTAGCCTCAGCAATATGTGATAGACGAACTATTGGAGGTTAAATTAAGCTTAGTTGGCATGCGGCATGGTTGATGATTCTGAAAGCGGCGTTGTTTCCATCAATATGATGTGTTCTGTATCCACGAGATGAGACAATATGGAACTGTGAATATAGACCTTGTTTGTCCCTTATTTAACCTCTATGAAGGATGGTGTTCGGAAATCTGACGATATATACACGGCTAATTGTATACGGCCTATGCAACTAACTGGCTCACTCCATATGAGCAGTCACACTGATAGATACACATGGAAGAGGCGAAATTAGGTAGTTTATCTTTAATTCTCGAAAGTGAAATAGGAGTGATTTTGAAGGCTAAGCATGCTTCATTAGCACTGAGTGCTCTTTTTACCACCGTATTCCTTAGGCGTTGTGTTAATATTTCACTGATATTATCCGCGAGGAACTGAAGTTGTAAGAAGGAGACTTTTGACCCGCCTTGATTTTTGATTCATATTCTTATGGATGACTTTTCTTGGATAACCCTTCCCACTCATCAACTGTTTGATAATATTAAGCTCTTCATTAAGCCGATTATTCTAGGAAGAGAAAATCATCGAAAAGAATATTCTTTGCTCAAATTTTCCTTTTTTCTTCAAAAAGGTGTTATGACTGGGGAAATTAACCCAATGATGAAAGACACATAGTCGCTTGAGTTTGTCTTTTTTGCGTATCTAAAAAGGTAAATAAAATAACGTTGAGAACACGAGGTGTGACAGCTTTTTCATCAAGCATTAATTTTTATTGTTCTATGATTTCTCCTCTTCTTCTCCTCCCCCTGCAGGTCTGTACTTCTCAGTACTTTTTATGGAGTCTATGTCTACTACCAATCGCTTTAGCAGATATACATTTACCAAAAGCGATTACACCTTATCGTGCTATAGTACAAAATCTATTCATCTGGTTCGGCTCACAAGCACTATGGCTGGCGTCTGCTTATAGCCTTGAAATGTGTACACTGAAAGGCATATTTTTAAATCGTATTGTCTGGCTACTGGTATGGGTGGCTTCATTAAACTATTTTGTGTGTAATATCTACATTTTATTTCGTTTGATCAGTTGGCGGAGTAAATCCAGTGCAAAACTTCATAAAGAGAAGTGACAATCGTCATTGTCAACATCATCATCCCTGAGTCGATTGCGCCGACTTCCTCGACTTATTATCGAAAGTGTGATAATCTCGACAAGAAATACTCTTGAAAGCAAATTATTATTATAATTCTCAATAGTATTATTTTCAAAATTAATTTATCTACTTTTATTTCGGTTACATATCTATATATCTATCTATCTATGTATCTGTGTATAATTTGTCCAAGTTAAATGAATGTTACTCATCTTTGTTTAGTATTTTTGTAAGACTTAGGGGGTAATTCTTGTTTTAGGCAGCAATTAATTCAGTATTTCTGTTCAGAATCATCATCACCTCACCATCTGTATTTCCTCTACTCTAAAAAGATGATAAACATATAACGAAGGTCATGAGGAAACTGTGTAAGCAGGTCGTGGCGGTGGTGGTGGTGGTTAGACATTGTAAATTCTCTAATCAAAACAAATTGTCCGGTGTTGTTTTATTTTGTTTTTCCCTCCCAGTTCCTACTACTACCACTACTGGTAGTAGGAGGAGCAGCATCAGCGGCTGCAGGATTCACTGACATGCACACAAAGACTTTGAAATATGCCTTTATATATATACACATAGGTAGGTGGTGAATACTTATCAATGTTTTCAGTTCTCCCCTCTCCCTCTATCTCTCTCTCCGTGTATATGTAAATATACCAATGTACTGTGATGTGAAATACAACAAGTGAATACTTTACCTTGTGTATTTCTTCTGTACTGTAATGCATGTACTTTTTTTGTTTTTAAAGTAATACTAATTTTAATCACACACGGTGGTGGTGTGTTCTTGTTCTCTTTTGCTTTTGGGTGTTTGCATTCAGTGTGAAAGGTTGAAATGGTGTTTTTTTAGTGGATCGTCATTGATTATAGTGATTATAGGGGG